TGCAGCGGGCGGAAACCCGAGGCGTCGGCCGCCTCCTTGTCGGCTCCAGCCGCCAACAGCGCCTTTGTACCTTTCACGTTGTTGTACATTGCCGTCCAACTTAGCGTCGTCAGTTTCGAGTTGTCACCGGCGTTCAGGTCTACCCCGGCGTCTATTAGCACCTTCAGCGTGTCGAATGTATTCTCGTACGCGGCCCAGTGGATGGGATGATACCCCGACTTGTCCACGGCTTCCTTGTCGGCTCCAGCTGCTAACAGAGCTTTAGTCCCCTCCACGTTGTTGTTTTTCGTTGTCAAAGCGAGTGCCGTCATGTCAGTTTTTTCTCGAGCGTTCACGTTCACCCCCAGTTTTAACAGTTCTTTCAGCGCGTTAATGCGGTTCTTGGTGGTCGCGTGTAAGAGGGGATTGTAGCCAGCGTTGTCGGCGATTTCGAGGTCAGCCGAATGCTCTGCCAAAATGCGTACGCCGGCGGCGTTGTCGTTTATCGCCATCCAGGCGGCGGCTGTGCGACCGAACTTGTCTCGGAAGTCAACGTCCGCTCCGGCTTCGATCAGCTTACGCAACACGCCTTCTCTGCCCTGTATGGTTGCCCAAGGCAGTAGCGTATCCATCACGGCGCTTTTCTTTAGAAGCGCCTTTAAGGCGCGGATGTTTTTGTTGGAAGCCACCCATTCCAGTGCGGTTTTGTTTTGGTTATCTTCTGCGAATATGCTGGCGCCTCGTTTCAAAAGCAGTATGAAAGCGTTCACGGTGGAGTTGCTTGTAGCCCGATGTAGGACGTAACTTCCGGAATCGTCACGTGCTTGAACATCCGCTCCAGAGTTGAGCAACAAATTTATTCCGATTATGTTGTTGTACTCTGCAGCCCACGACAAAGCCGTTCTACCAACCTTGTCTTTCGCGTGGACGTTCACTCCTGCAGCTAGAAGTCTCCGCATGGTGTCTTCGCGACCTCGCCGGGTCACCCAATGCAACGGTGTGTATTTGTCTTTGTCTAGAGCTTCTTTATTGGCACCAGCGGCGAGGAACACATCTATTGCTTCCGCGTTGTTGCTGTCAGCAGCCAAATGTAACGGGGTTTTCCCATGATCGTCTCGTGCGTCCACGCTTGCGTTCGCGGCTAGGAGGATCTGCAAAGTTCGAGATGTCCCGTTTCTAGATGCAATATGGAGAACTGAATAATTGTTGGGTGCTGTTTTATCAATTGCGGCACCAGCTAATAATATTAGTTTGATGCCTTCCCAGTGGTCATTGTCTGCCATCAACAGAAGAGGAGTTCTTTCATTGAAATCGCGTGTCTCCAAATCGACGCTCTCTTCGATAAGGAGTTTCAAAGCGTCTTCAGTTCCCCGCTGGGCAGCGCAGTGAATAGGCGCGTGTCCTTCAGCGTCTTGCAGTTCCTTATCTGCCCCAGCGACCAGCAAAGCTGCCGCTGCGTTAACGTTATTGGCAGTAACGGCCACGTGCAGCGCTCCTTTGCCTTCGTTGTTGACAGCGTCCGCGTCCGCCTTCGCCTTCAAGAGCGTCCTGAGCGCGTCCAGGCTCTTCTCCTTCTCGGCGGCCAGCGTCAGCGCGGTGTCGCCCGCCTGGTCCTGCGCGTCCAGCTGGGCCCCGGCGTCTAGGAGGATCCGGAGCGCCTGCACGTTGTTGGCGGCGGCGGCCCTCATGAGAGCGGTGCGGCCGCGGAGGTCGGCGGCGTCGGTGCTGGCGTTCGCCGCCAGGAGCGCCCGCAGCGCGTCGTCGGCGCCGTCGCGCGTCGCCCAGTGCACGGGGGCGGTGCCGTCCTCGTCGCGGGCCTGCGGCGTCGGCGACCGGCGTCCAACGAGCGCGCGCGTGGCCGTCGCGTCGCCGCTCGCCGCCGCCAGTGCAGCGGCGATCGCCCGCGCCGGTCCGCCACCGCCGCCCGCGCGCCCAGGGCGAGCAGCGCCGCCAGCGTCGCCGCGTCGCCCGCCCCGCCGCCCAGTGCAGCGCCGTCGCGCCGCGGCGTCCGTCGCCGCACGCGCGCGCCCCCGGCCGCCAGCAGCCGCGCCGCCCCCGCGCCCTCGCCCGCGCCGACCCCCCGCCGCCGCACATGAGCGGCGTCAGGCCTGCGGGCGGCCATGCAAAGATTGGGCAAAACATTTATCATAATACTCACCAAAGGTTTTCGATGTCGATGGAAATTCAACAAAAACACCACTGTTTTAAATATGATAAGTATTTTGAAGCTAGGTAAGTGATATAAATATGGCAGTGTAATACGGCAAATAGGCGACTATGTTGCTAGATGAAAAAGTTATTTTAGACAGTACTAGAATGCTGTTGAAAGAGCGTAGAAGTGCGTTACCTCTATCCTGTCTGGTTGACACGCACATATTACTCTGGAGCATCTATTATCAATTCCTTACAACTTCTTTCCGGATAATTTATCATTAGTACGTGAAAGTGATTTCGTGTTTTGACAGTATATATGTTTAGGGCATTTAACTAGCAATCTAATCAAAAAAAAATTTCCACAATATTATCAACGAGGAGAGATTTATAACATGTTGGTTTCGCTGTCAATATAGAACAAGAGTGTAGGACTAACTATTAGACAAAGAAACTTTATTTATCGTAAATATGAAACTGATTAAACAATTTTTACGTTTTTTTTGCTATTTTCAACTTTGTATATAACTCCTCATTTTATAAATAATAAATTTGTGTAACTCAGAATTCCTTGCATTACTGAAATAATGTCAGAACGTAGTTTGTAAATAGACTGTAAAAGAGTAATTCTTATTATATATTAGTATAGGCTAACCTAATTCTATTGTCATGCAATAACAAACTAGTTAATCTGGCAATGGTCCATCAAATCTGCATGTAGGCGTATTACTTTCAACATACAATGTTTTTCTTACACAACAAAAATATTCCTGAATCACTTTTGTGTGTTTAACAATTTCAAACATGAAGCAATTAAATTTCATTATGAAACTGTTTATATGGCTAACTGTTGAAGTTTATAACTAGGAAATTTGAGGCGTTCAACCATATATTACCATATACCTTTATATAACTTTCAGGCCTTAAAATGTTATAGTTCTAAATGTGAAACCTAATATTCAATATTGCGTTTGAATAGGCTTATATTCCGCTTTAAATGTGATTGTCACCTTAATATTTAATCACGTCTATGCAGTCAACGGTTAAATTTCTGTTTAACAATATTACACGTACACAAAATCAAAAACAGTTAACCACACAGAGAAATATTTGCGAATAGCAAACGTTCGTGACGGCTATAGTAACAGATGTCAATGGCTATTGATTGCGATCATTGTTAGTGGGAAATTTATTTACGTCATGACAATTTTTTTAAATTCGGTGTATTGCACAAATATATCGGACTGAAAAAACATGGAAGCAAAACAACGACGTTTTTAAATCAATTTTTCTGCTCGAAAATATTGATGTTCTTAAGTACACTATATTTTCAAATATATAAATATACGTATAAACAACAGATATATAATATATGATATATATATATATATATATAATATATATATATAATATATATTTGTGACGTACCAGGGAAACGGTACTCTCACGACAATAAAGATATAAAGGACGGGTACATTCTCGTGAAGGGCTCTCAGGGGTTTGACGCTGCATTGAAAGAATGATCGAAGAATTTCTTTTGTAACAATTAAAGTTTAATGATTGAACACACTGTACAAAAATTCTTTACAATACGCAGTGCGCAAGGCCTTTAGTGATTCGTGCACAAGTAACGCTACCTTGAGGTTTCGATGACACCGGCTGGCTGGAGGCGGACGGGGCCGTGCAACGGCGGGGCGTGTCGGCAAACTTCGGTCCGCCCGAAGTCTGTCGGGAAGTCGCTTTCCCTCGGCGGTTGAGTCCGCTAGCACCCCAATGCATGGCCAAGAGCTCGCCGGGGTCCCCCCCCCAGCCAGTACAAGCAATGTCACATATACTAACATGCACAACCGCAAATGCGTCCCGTCGCAAGTCCGATTCAGCAGTTCTCTCAACCCATCGAATGTTCGCAACGGTCGGGCCCGCTGCTGCATCACACCGGGCGGAATATGGAACGCGTGTCTGTCGGCACTCAAACTCCAGTATTAATGTTTTCACTGATTCCGGCCTGGGTGCGCACTCCCCTTCTCCAAATCACTGATTATCAGTTTTTATACCTCTAACTCTCACTTAATGGCTACAATCATCCAACTGTTGTTATATCACTATAAACTTGCTTGAGGCAGCACAGCCCGTCCGTTTGCGCTCGCGCCTCTCTGCCATACTCCCAACCGTCACACGCCTCGCCCGTCTACCCCCGTTTGACCGTTGTGGCAGCGGCGCGGCGGCGGCGGGCGTTACTCTGATCGATAGTGCTTCTTTTATAGAATTAGTAATCAATTTTGATTGTTACTTGCAGAACACGATCGTTCGATATATATTATATATATATATATATATTATAATTATATATATATATATATATATATATATATATATTATTGATATATCTGTGTGTGTTATACGTATATTTTATATATTGAAATATATGTACTTTCAGACATCAATATTTCGAGCAAAAAATTGATTTTAAAGCGTCATGTTTTGCTTTCCATGTTTTTTCAGTCCGATATTTGTGCAGTACACCGACTAAAAAAAATGTCATGAATGTAAATAATTTCCCACTACAATTTAAAAATCGAAAAATTTTAAAAACATGATTATTTAAATCCTTCGATTTTCGCCATCCCTACCTGCAGTCGGTGTGTCGGCGTCGCGCCCGCGGCGAGCGGCCCGCAGCGCTGCCTCGCGACCGCGCGCGCCGCCAGTGGAGGGCGGTGGCCCCGCCCGCCGTCGCGCACGCCCGCGTCCGCGCCGCAGCGTCCAGCAAGCGCATCAGGGGCGTCGACAACCGCGCGGGCGGCGACGGCCTGCGCGGCGAGATGCAACGGCGCGCGCTCGCCCGCGTCGCGCGGCACTCAGCCAGCGCCGTCTTACGAACGCGCCGGCGCGCAAGCAACGCGCGCACCGCCTCCGCCTGGCCCTCCTCGGGGCGGCGTGCAGCGGCGTGCGGCGCACGGCGCCCCGCGTCGGGGCGGCGCCGGCGCCAGCAAGCCGGGAACGGCGTGCTGGCCCCGGCCCGCCGCCCAGCTGAGCGCGGTGTCCCCCGTGGCTCGCCGACGCGGACGAGTCCCCCAGCGTCCAGCATCGCCTCCACGGGCCGCGCGCGCCGTTCCGCCGCGCCAGGTGGTGCAGCAGCGCACCCGCCGCCAGCGGAGTCCGCGCCGCGTCCTCAGCCACCAGACGCGCGCCAGCCGCTCCCTGCTAGAGGGCGCTGGCGCGCCGCGCCCTCGTGCGCTGGCCGCCACCAGGCGCGGCGCGTCGTCGCCGGCGGGGAGGGTGGGGAGTTGGCGCGCGGCCTCCAGGACGGTGTGCAGCGGGGACCACACCCACGCGAAGTAAGCCTCCGGGCCCCAGCGCTCCGGAGGCGCCTCCCCCGCCCCGGATGGGGAGGCGTTCCCCAAGGCCCACCACACGGTTTTTGACGTCTCATGGTGGTCTTGGGTTATGGAGACTTGGTAAGGGCTTTCGGGACTATTCTGTGGCTGAAAATAACATAAGTTATTATAATACCATGCAAAATAAGGTAGAAATAACTAAATGATTGTGAAGGATTTAACATCTCATACTGCGACAAAAAAGATATAAACCTAAAAATCCAAACATTCCACAAATTGTGCGGTACTATACGCAGAGCAGTAAGACAAAAGACCAGACAAGATACCCAACTAAAATTTTACAAAACAAAGGCAGTCCCAATGCTAACTTATGGATGCGAAAGTTGGACAGTCAAGAGGTCAGTCAGAAGAAAGATCGAAGCGGAACAAATGAGTTTCCTGAGACCATTAGAAGGATATACACTACTAGATCGTAGAGAAATGAAGACATCAGAGGTGAACTGCAGATCTCCAGCATACTGGAGAAGATCGACTCAACGAGGAAGAATTGGTTCGAACACCTAACCAGAATGCCACAAGAACGGCTACCCAAGACTATCCTCGAATACAAACCAAAGAGGAAACGACCCAGGGGCAGACCCCACACAAGATGGAAAGAGACTCCTGAGAGAGGAACAGGCCACTAGGCCCAAACCTTGTTGCTGCTGATGATGATTGTGAAACCATTTTTTGTCAAATCCAATTCGCTTTGCGGGAACTCTTATATTGAAACACGTTAGTTAGTCATTATTTTTTAATTCAGAAGCATGGTTGTTAATATATTAATGCTCCACAAATTTATTATTTACAAAAAAAGCTTATAGATCTATTTTTCTAATATAATGATAATGCTACTGCACTTACTTTCGCAGATATCACCCTAACGAGAACCACTAGTAGGTCTCATTTAGAAAGCATCGCGGTAGAGAACTCTGAAGATATTCTAGGTGGGCTGACACACCTCTAAATCAGCTGTTCACTGTAATGGTGAAAGTATAATTGCGGTACGAGCGGATACGTTCAGGAACTAACCGCCCTTCCTTCCGAAGCTACTACATCAATAAAGACGTAGGTATCGCCGAAAAACTAAGTAAGCCAATTAAGCGTTTCCAATCCTTTATTAGTGCAAGAACCAATATCCTACACCTCCCTGTGGGGATGAACAATGTACTTTTTGCTTGAGAATAGATTTTCAAAACCTTTTCTTCTGATGCTCTAATCCACCAATTGGTTAACACGCCTTCGGATTCCATGCGTCACTACCTGGATTTTTCTACATTATGAGTGACAACCATTCATTTGAATGGAAAAGGAAGCATATAGATGGGAATTCAAATTCAATTATGCCTTATTTGAAGAGGGTCACGACATAGGCCTGCTCATCTACCTGAATCTTTCCCTACGTTTCTTTCCCCATCTTGTAGCGAAAGAATGTGTTAGTCGGACAAGAAAACAGACGATTAGAATTTAACCGAGAGGCTTCTTTTACCCTTGATGATATTTTACGAGCATTGAATCTACAACATGGGGCATCCGGAATTACTTTCTCTACAGAAAAGGCCACAAAAGACCAAGATACACAGCTTCGACCAGATTTGAACCAGCAAACTTGGATAAGAGGAACTTGGGTGATGCGCTAACCATTTCACCACCAAAGCAGCTTTCAACCACCCAAACCGGTTTATGGCTGAATGCCCTGTTAAATTCAATCCTCCAACAATGCATGTCCTAAGCAGATTCCATATTCGTTTGCCAGGGCACGACACAAGTAACAGATAAATATGAGAGCGTTGTTGGGTTGGACTCTGGTGGGAAACAAGGGTATCAAAAAACAGTTGGCAGCGTTGAGTGGTCATGTATTGCCTAATTCAAAAATGCTGAACAAATTAGCTCATGTTGCGGGTGGGTCGTGATCAACTATCCTGGAATCAAGCATTAGAAACAACAATACCAACAAATGACGTAAAGATTACATTTCTGCTTTATTTTTTTCTTTTACTTCGCTTACCTTGCAATTTGTTCTTTAAAAAAATCTTTCAAAGTTTGAGTAGAAAATCCGTTATTAGAATTGTAATTTGTAGCTTTCGGAAGAAATTTATTTTTTAATGTAATTTTGATTAATGGTCTCTATAAAGAAGTGACAGCCACTATCTACATATAAAGGGATTTCAAGCACTCGTATAAAATGATCGTGATTAGAGGCTTGTACTGTGGTACTGTGGTATCACTTCGGTCTCTCCGTGAAAAGGCAATTTCCATCCTTAAACCTCAACTTCATCTTTCTAAAAACTTCTATTTTAGATACTAAGGGAAGATAATGAGATGCAATTAGTTAATGAACATTATTAATTTCTTGCAAGTAAATATTATTGCATTTCAAATTTTGCTTAAATTCATATCTGGGTATTGAAATATAATGCAAAACGATGATTGGTGGAATTGATTCAGTCACAATACCGAAGGAAAAGGTATTTCTCATAATGCGAAACAATTGTGAAATAAAATTATTTATTAACATCCTTCATATTGTGATGACATCGATTTTACCAATAAATGAGCTATTTCTACTTTTGATTGTGCGCATTATATGCTTGCAAAGTAGCATAAACTTATAATACACTCACACACATACACACTCAGAAAGGCGTAGCTGATATGAAAATATCGACTTAACTTGCAGACAAATGAAAAGAAAAGAATGATAGACAAAATTTAGTAATGGTAGTGCATCTTAAAAATTGACCTCACCAAGTTACCTCGACTACAACTATATCATTACAAACCCCAGACTTTATTCACACTCAAAGCCTTTTTTAACAATACAAAGACGGGATATCAAGATAGTAAAGGTTGACGGGATTGGATTAGGTAAGATGATATTAAATTAATACTTAGGCTTTGCAAGAAGATCGCGATCATGCATGCATAAAACACGTTTTAAGATTTAATACTGAAATATTAAAGGCTAGGTTATGTCTAATTCGTTCTTTGGAACTATAAAATAGTAAAATGTAGTCATAATTACTTTAAATCATATACGCAAAAATATAAAAAATATTGAGATAATTCTACAAGTAATAAGTCATCTATCAATTACTCTAGAACATCAGTTGCTCACCTTAGCGTAGCAACCTGTGACACTAAGGTACGTTAACAGCACGGCGCTAACCAGGAGCCGACGTATTGCGAACGGACACATATTGTACGCGTCCACTGACGATGACGGCTGCAACTGCAAGAAAATATGACACAAACTCAATACATTACATTGCGCATTTTGCAGACTTTTTGGAAGTTTCTTAGCAATTAGATTAATTTATATTTAATTTTAACCTAGTTAAAAACAGCAGTATTACTCTTTTCACGAAGTATATCCCACGAACTATGAACTCCGCCAATAACCGTCAAAACGATTTATATCAAGGTGTCAATGTATAAGGTATTCAAAAGGCAATAAATAACTGAAATAGTCATAAATAAAGAATATTTAAATACTTATAAGCTTAGTGGTTTCTTTTATATACAACAGACTAAAGTGAACTGTTTATATCTATGCCACGTATTCTTCATATTACTGTGTACTTATAAAGGTAAGGTGGGAATAGTTATCTTCGAATAATAAAAACGTATAAATAAGTAGGTTTCTTCTCTTTCGGTATGAACTGTTTCTTGGTTTAATTTTATTGAATTAAGTAAGATTTATTTCGATGTTGAAGGAGCGAAAGTCAAACATTTTGAATGTTGTAAGTGTTGATGCTAAAATTGACAGAATTAACAGTTTTTGGAAGAAAGTGTACTTTTTTGTATGGGTATGATATAAACCTTAATGTTCAGTTTTTGAGTCAGTCCTTAGAAAACTCATATAACCTGTGTTTAGAAGCTCAAAATTTATTCTGACTTACTATAAGCAAGAATTTTCGCCAATTGCTCAATTCGCAATAAATAATACTGTACTGTGTGTCAGTCTCTTCATTTCGTATCAATCACTGCAGTAGAGATACGAATTTATATACCACACGTTTACATCAATGAAGAAACTAAACTTTAACTATTGAAATACTGTGAATTAAATAGAAACTGTTAGCAGGTTATTTTTAGAAATCGTTGTAGAAATTTGGCTTTTAATGTAAGTGTAGAATATATAGGTGTATAAAATTCAGTCTACTTTCAATAATAGTCGCATGTTTTGTTGAAATATACAATAGTTGTAGAAACGTAATATATTTTTAAATATTGTGACAGTAATATTGAAATATAATATTACATTTATTACGTGACGCAACATTTACTTCAATTTGGCAAGGAAAAACTAATTTGTTGAGCAAACAAAACGTTTTGTTCAAAGCAGGTGCAAACGACGCTATGCAAACTTACCTTCACTGCTTCATGAAGGTTCCGACTCACCAAGCCAATGACAGCGAGGGGCTGAGTTTTCGGATACACACGACAGCTGCCGTCAGACACCGTTGCCTTTCACAATCGCATACTTCGCTCGTATAAGACTCCGCGCCGTCACTAATTGTGCTGGATAGCGTTCGTCGACTCCCCTGGCACGCACCACGTTTTTCTTCCTTTACATTGGTATTTCCTTCTCGCCTAAACACAGACGTCCAGTGACCAAACACGAATTTACAAACTGGTGGCGCTAAAACAATACGTACTTTCTCTCGCGTATTTTCGCGCAAAATTACTCAAATTTTCGAAAAATGATACATGACCTTATTTCAAAAGCTAACTTTAAGGAAGATTCCATCAAGGAAGATTTCATTAAAGAAAATAATCTTTATAAGGAATGTGAATGTAATATGAGCACATAAAGCGCCTCAAATATTGCTGTTTATGTATTTCAACATTTGGCCAAATTAACAGCATCATGATTAACACTTTTGCTTAAAGTTGAAATATCTATATCACAAAAAAGTGATTTAGGAATATTTTGTTATTTTACAAAAACCAATGTAATTTGAAGGTAATATGCCCACATGGAGGTTTTATGGCCATTGCCAAAATGACTTGTTTCTTGTAACATGACCGTGGCTAGCTATACAAATGTAGAATATAAATTTCACTCCTACAGTCTTATCTTACAAAAATACGGCCAGAAATAAATCCTTTTTTAAAACAATAGCGTTAGAGTTGTTAAGTAGTTTATAAGAAGTTATAAGGGCAGAGCGCCTATAGCGCGTCTTGACAATAAAAGCTCCCGAGTGCGAATGCGCAAATCAACAAGTCTGGTAGGATGTTAACGCACTTCTTACACACTCCCAGACGGCATGCTAGCACAATCAATCGGAAATAGTTTCAGTTAACATCATAACCGCTACTTGGCCATATTACTTTCACTGACCATATTTGCATCACTTTCCTTATTTAATATTTTAACTGTGGGAAGACTTCGAAAAATAGTCAATTTTTTCCAATTTTCGAAAAATTAGGGCCTTCAATGACTATAAGACTAACACCGTTCCCCTAAACGTCTCTCACACTATCCAACAACAAAGTTTAATCAAAAACGATGGATTCATTTTTTTGAAAATTGGGAAAATGTCCCAGATGCTTCACGTTAAGTACATACCCAAAATAAAAATATCGGGACCGCAACATCAACCAGATCGATTAGGGGGTATCAATTTGGGAGAAAAACATCTGAACGGTTTAGCCACTAGCGTTGTTCACAGGCGGGCAAACGGACGAACAGACACACGTTTTGGCGTGACTCGAGATTTCGATACCAAGAACCCACAAAAAATGGATGCTGGCTACACCATGTGTTAAATTTAGTCACTGTATTTATCCACTTTCTCGTTACGAGGGACCTGTTATAAGAGTTATTTGCCGGAAATTTGCCGTGTTTTTGCGCAGCATAACAACTTTCTCTCTACTCCGTAGTGAGAAACTACAAAATATTTGTACGCATGTCAGAACTATACCATTATCAGGAGCAGAGGCTTAGCTCTCAGAGCGAAATCAACGAGTAACATTCGTAAATTTTAGAATATGCTTCTTTTATCTGTTTAGAATGTAAATCTTTGTTAAGAAATAAAATATTTATAAAATATGAGACATTTAAGAGAAAGTAAGATAAAAGTAACATCTAATTTTTGGACCAATGATCAGTAAAGGTTAAAATACGGAGACTTATTCAATATAATACTAAATATTGCCATGAGTCACAACACTTTTTGAATATTACGAGGAAATATTATTTCACGATTACGTTTCGGACACAAATGGCGAACAATGGCGACTTACCTTACGGTTTCATGGCGCCTTCACGGTAGTGTTCAATTTTCCGAATGACAGCAAGGCGACGTGCTTTCAACGGCACACGACAGCAGCCGCCAGGCCAGGTGTTCGTCCACTGACGTGCAAGTTGCGAGTCTGAAGCCGGTTACCAACCTGAACGACGAACGGCTGACGCAAGGCAGTTCCTTCTATCTTGGTCCGCCATTGAGCGAAGGTCATCATTCCGCTCGGTAGCTCAAACGAAGGTAGAAAAGTGGGGTGTGACTCCCAACAGGGATTTTGAGAGGTGTCTTATACACGTGCAGAATATTTGCTTGTGGGAGCTGTAAAAGTATAATTTTAGTTTGGTTATAATGAATATCCAGATAAATTAATAACAGTTGTACTAATAGAAAAATTAAAATATGTGATTTCTTATTTTATATAGAAATTGTTGGAGTCAACTTAAGGTATAATTATGCATTACCTAATTTTTGCAATAATGAGACTGCAATTTTTTTTATGAAAATAATACTTTCGAATGAAATTTTTCCCTACCATAATATGCTATATACTATATTATGCTGTATTATTCTCGTGGCCAGAGTATCGTATTGAGTAATACACTTGTTCTCATTATATTCATATACACTAAACTTTTTAATATTCACAGTTCCCGTATGATAGTGGTTCGGAGAAGGTCCCGAAGCGAGTGTTCGTGGCAAGTGTCCGGAAAGCAGCATCTTCATTGTAAAAATCTTGCAGTTGCTATCTAGGTAAGTAATTATGACTATATGTCCTTCCTAGTTTACTTTCTCCTCTCTCTCTCTCTCTCTCTCTCTCTCTCTCTAATATTTACTTATAAATTTGTGTCGATCTATAATTTATTTCATTATTTAATAGCTTTGTTATTTACGACTTTTGCCTTGAGTTCATGTGGACTTAGCAATATATTTTTATTATTTTTCTTTAGATTTTATTAATAGAGTGTAACTAGCATTATTTCTTCTTTATTTTACTGGGAAGAATCTGTCGTTTATTTTAATATTTGATAAAAGATCGTTGAATAAATCTGCTATCTGGTCTTGAATTTGTAATAAATTTTTTGTTTGAACTTTTCGTCGTCATCTATATAAGATCCTCCTAGGGAACCGATTTCATTGCTCAAGTAACACCAAGATCGCAACTGTGAGAATATTGATAATATAAACCCGGGTCTTATATAAGTGCTATGAGACGAGCTCTCCAAAGTTCGGAACACCATCAAGGAGTAGATTGCGTCATAGTTTACCAGATCCAGGAGATCAGCGCACACGGGGTAGTGGCATGGAATTAGAACACGAGGAGAAGTGGACTAGCCAAAGCAATATTGGTGAAGAACTTTGCTCCGCTTGTTTGGTGTCGGTGACTGCACAAACGATGACACACTGTGAAGAGATTGATTTCGCGAGGAAAATTGAGATAAGCCTCCATATAAAAGCATTAAAAATAGTCATGCTGTAAACTCTAGAACAGACAAGAACTACAACTTAAAATTAAATATTTAAAATCGTAAGAGATTGAGACACCACTCTCTAGTTATCGGGATCAAGCCATGATGATCATAACCTACAATGTTGTAAAATGACGTAGTTGCTCATTTTACCCTCTGATAATTGTAAAAACAAAGTAATTGATAATAATAATTATTATCTAGCATATTCAGCAATAACTAGAATTAGTTGGGAAGTATTTTCATAACAATACGAAGTACGTTATAGAATTTCCCAAAGCCTCTTAATTTTTTTTTTGCTGTAGAAGGCGGTACTGTTGTTATTTATCACAAAATATAGTATATTTACATAAAAGATCAGGTTGCAATTCATGTCCTAGAATTATTATTAAACACTCCAGCACAGCTATCTTTTTCACGCTCGTCTGATGTGTTTTTTTTACATGTTCAGTACGCACAACCTAATTAATAACTTCATGCGTGGCGTGTACTACTGTCGGGCCTGAAGCGGCCCAAAGACGGCAACCCTCTCTAACATTGCGCAGTTGTTTTGGTTCCGTGCCGAAGCACACGGACGGTGCCCGCGCGGTTTAGAGGGGAAAGTTGTTGATACGGGCGAACGACTGGGGGGGGGGGAGGGGAGGGGCAGACCAGGAAAACGTTAGTCGCCGAGATCCTGCCCTTCTCTTGCATCCGCCCGCCCGACGGCTTTCTGCGTAGACGTCAGCCCGCGGGCGAAAGTCGGAATTTCCAGCAGACAACGACCAGAGAGCCGAGCCGGTGGCCGAGATCGTTAAGGCAGTAGTGCCGTAGCGAACCCGGACCGAAGGATCGCGGGTTCGGGCCCCGCCTCGGGCATGGTTGTATTGTGTTCGTCCTTTCACACCCTATCATCGTATCATGTCATACTCATAGTTACCACAACGTTGCAAGCAATAGTGGCCGCTAAAGACCTAGAAGTTGATGGGACCTTAAATAACAAAAAAAATGACCAAGGGGATATAAATGGGGGGAATATACGGATGGTCTACTTAGGACATTATTTGAGAACAGTTTTTTTCAACCGCCGATCGACTATAATAGAAAGACAAGTGTAAAGAAAAAGATGAATTTATTTCTAAAAGTTGTGTACAATGTTGGTCACTTTTCTACATAACAGCCGTGAAGATTCAGGTCTTAATCGTATCTGTGTGTCTACAAGCTTTTCCATTCCCTCTTCGTCGAACATTGCCGTCACTGATGTGAAGTGGGATCTGGACTTTGCTTTCAGGCTTCTCATTGGTCTGTAAGCTTTAGCCTTCTAGTCAAAAGCTTCAATTCGAGGAAGATATGAAAATCAGTCGACCCGAAGACACGCTTTGATCAAGCACGACCCATTTGGTCCATATGCTGCTTGGTTACATTTGCACTGTAAGTGTGGGCGTCTCCTGAAGCCAGCATTCATCATTTGCTTTCAAGTTTTGCATTCTAAATTTCCGCGAGCAGAAAATAATTTTACGAAAAATGCAATGCACACAAAACCTTGTACAAAGTCAAAAGAAAAAAAGTGAATGTGAACAGTTTCCACGTAAAAATAAATAAAGCCTTTGACTTGTACAATGTAAGAATGTTTAAATACTGGGCTACAATATGTGGCACAAAATACACTCTAATACAATCTGTTTGCTATGTAATATGAATACTGATGAAAACTATAAACATAATTTGTGTGAGTGCCCAATTCACAAAAGGACATAGAGGACATTACCACAATGAATATATATCGTATCATCCTTTCCCAATTGTTTGATTGAACTAAACTCTGAAAGATCTAAAACTCTGTACATTGTATTTCATCAATTTCTGAAATTCCACCCACTTATAATAAATAAATAGTTCAAACTAAATTTTACGAGCATTCTAATGATTGTATTATTTGTGACTTATCAAATATTAACAAGTCAAGCCTTACTTGATACAAGTCATTTTGATTAGATTTATATGTTCTGTTGTCTCAATCATTTTGTATTTAACGCTACTCTATTATTTTATTATTATGTTATTGTATTATTTGTAATAGGACAATCCTGTGAACAAATTACTAATAAAATTGAATTGAATTAATACTGAGCTACTGATGGAATATCCTTGGAAGGCAAAGCAGAAGGGGATTTTTATGCATGGAAACTAATAGGTAAATTATCAATAAGGAAAATTAGCAATGAAATCATGTAGTTTTACGCAAGCTAATCTTTGGAGAGAAGTATATGTAAAATAAGCACAAGATGTATGTAGAACAGTAAAAAGTATAATACATAAACATAGAGAAGGCAGAACTAGAAGATGAATAAGAATAGAAAGAAATGATAAAATTAAATATCCTGTAAATGATTAGGAAGTACAAAAGAAAAGGTTGAAGAATTAGAAGTGAAAGAAATCGATCACATTCGTTGAATCCATGAAAGGGTCGAAACACCTCAGATGCAACACGAGTTTTCATTTTCTTTTCCCTGCAAACGTCTTTTGGTCCAATTCCAATGGGTACTCCCTTTCCGACGGGCTATCTGGTGAGCGCGAATCTTTTCAATGAAATTCAATTACTTTCATAAATTCATTTTTGCAAATCAAGTGGTGTATTTTTAGGCTTATATTGCAGATTACAACTATGAGAAAGGTGATGCTGTTCTTTGCGCACTGCTGTAAGTAGACCTGTGTGTGTGTGTGTGTGTGTGTGTGTGTGAATGTGTGTTTAAGAGGAGGGGTAGTGACTACAGTATGGAAGGAATGCGCGCGGTGTGTGTGTGTATGTGAATATGTCTTTAAGAGGAGAAGTAGTGACAAGAGTAAGGAAGGAATGCGCGCGCAGTGTGTGTGTGTGTGTGTGGTGTGTGTGTGTGTGTGTGCGTGTGTGTGTGTGTGTGTGTGCGCGTGTGTGTGTGTGTGTGTGCGTGTGTGTGTGAATATGTGTTTAAGAGGAGACGTAGTGACAAGAGTAAGGAAGGAATGCGCGCGCAGTGTGTGTGTGTGTGTGTAAATGTGTGTGAGAATGTGTGTTTAAGGGGAGGAATAGTGACAAGAGTAAGTAAGGCATGCCTTCACGTTTGAATCCAACGAGTCTGTCCGCCCCCCCATCGCAGCTCTCCCGGGTCGCCCACCGCCGCCGCCGATCGCATCGCTTTCGCTGCGTGCGGGTGACCCGGGTGCGCGAACGGTTATTCGGCGCGGGCGGTGCCGCGCTCGCCCGACGGGTATTTAGGTTTAATTAATTGGGCCCAACGGATACGTGTTTGTTGCTGAAAGGTTGGCATCAGCCGAATCAACACGCCCGCCGCGCCGCCGCCGGCGCCCTGAGGTGTGCCCCGCGATGCCCTACTTTACCGCGCGCGCGCCGCTCACGAGTGCGTGTGTGTGTGTGTGTGTGTGTGTGTGTTTTTGTGCAAACAGATTAAGCGTAGGGATCAATGAAACGTGCGTATTTAATCAAGAGGGAATTCTTCAGTAGTTTGTACGTGGAGAGAGGGAGTCAATACAAGCCATCTCTGAAGTTTGACGCAAACGGTTTAGTAATTTTGTATTGGCTGGGCTCAAGAATATTTTAGATTAATTTCGAAATGCTAACCCCTGATTCCCGCCGTCAGATTAGAAATGCGCTGATTAAGTTAGTCGAATTGGTTGTTTCAAAATGGAATCCACATTGGAACGTATTATGTTTTCATCCACCATCTACTGAACATCACATGCCATATGTGCTACATTTTCTCGCATATTA